ACTTTATTCCTAAGGATCTTGAATAGGGGCTGATTTCCAAAAGCAAAGGCCTTTTGGCGACGGGTAAGGAGCTGCTTAAGCTGCGTTGACACCCAGGTACGATCCGTCTCGTGGATTTTAATGGAGCGCACAGGGATAATTGTGTCCAAACTGTAGTTGATAACTTCATTCAGCAGCGACAGCTTTCCTTCACATGACTTATCAGACGTCAGCAAACTCGACCAGGGGATTCCCATCGAAAATCGCCCAACACTATTGACTTTGCTAGGGCGCTTGTCTCTCGACCTTGCACTTTGGCTTCGAGGCGTCACCCGTCCCAGAACCTATGTTAATAGTCACGTGGTCAGACAGTTCAAAGGGAGGTAGGCGGGGAGGGACCGATGATTAGTCATGTAAGTTGGTGAAAATCTGGTCCAGAGTCCTATCACCTCTAGTTGGAAATTTGACAGTTGGTTTCAGGTTAAACGATTTCACCGCTGACTGGATTATAGGAAGGAAAGTTCAATTGAAGCCACCAGCCAAGATAAAGGCACAGTTGGGGCAGGTTGCCTCCAAGGACACGAGTGACGATATCAGATAATCCTTCATTGCTGCGTCGTCGGTGTCAGAGTACTGATAGACCACGCCCACTATGATGTTGGAAAAGCCACGCGGAGGGAAAATTTTGTAAGTTACAAAACAAGGTAATAATAAATAAACCTCAGGGCCTAGTTGTTCAAACGCCGATTGGCACTAACCCTGGGTTAAATTTTAATCCAGGCTCTTCATTTCTCTATCCAACAGCTCTTTAAGCAAAATTTTCACTAATCTTTTAGGAGAAACCATCCATCAAATTTTAGACAAAACAGTCAAACTGAATTTTCTTTTAAAGCATTCAGATCTGAAATTAAATTTCACACTAACCCTAGGTTATCTTAACCCAGCTTTGAAAAACCCGACCCAGATGTCATAGGAATCAAAAAGATTTTAGCGGGGAGGGGCAAGGGGAGTTAGCTCATGAGGTGGATAATTCTGAAAGAATGAAATCAAGGCTATTTGGTCTAAGTGACCAAGCCGGTTCATAACATGATCATGTTTTTCTGGTTTAGGTCCTACGATTCTATTATTTCCTTCCATTTACCTTCATCCCTTTCTAATGACATTTTTTAACATTCCAAGCAAGAGTCGTATTCAAGAACTCGAGAATTCATCAAAGGATTAACTGAAAATTCTAGTATACCTAATCGTTATAAATTTTCAGTAAAAATATGATTATCAGATGATAAGTGAGCTTCTTTACCCAAGAGCAACTAGGGAGCTTATAGGAATAGAAGCGCTCGTGCTTTAATCAATGTATTGCTGCGCCTGGTCGCTGCATTTGTTCGGTATTCCGCTGCTACTTAGAAACTCAAGCTTTAACAGAAAATATTCAAATAAACTCTTTTTTTATTGCTATTTACAATGTTTTTTTTTGACATATTTACATAATTGTAGGTTGTGTTTCACACTCTAAACTCTTTAAATTTTTTATTCCTTTTTTTCGATGAAATAAAGGGTGCTTTTTATCTAGCTTCTGCGTATGTACAGATATCAACTGCGCTCAAAAAAAAAGGACAAATGCACCAAAGCCGGACACGAAAACCCTTAAAAACCATGCAGCAGCTGGAGAAAAGTGGGGAACGCGTACCCCCGACCAAGGCAGTGGTGCTTCTCTTGGCGATTTAGGGTTTCCTACACAGTAACATCACTTACGCAGGTAAATTAATGCCAGTATATAAAAATGTAATCCTTGCAAGAGCATTAACCGAAGCTTATTTACTAAAACAAAGTATTTCAGAGGCAGAAATTGGTCTAAAGGCATACTAGCTGATCTTAAGAAAGCAATGAAGAATTCCTTCATGATTTTGGCATTGCCGCAGTACAATACTGAATCTCAAAATTGCAATTTCTACTGAATGCGCCTACCTTAACTGATAATTACCCTTTTCGATGAAAATGATAATGAACCGATAGTTAAAACTTTCTTATTCTACTCGAGCAGGGAACAACTGCGAAAATCTAAGAAAGCTGTAATGCCTCAATGAAACAATTCTAGATTAGACAATAATGCGAAATCGTCGATATCAGTTCTTTCCATTAAAGTTTTGAGATACTCTGCCTTGAGCGGTTCCTTTCAGTGCTTGAAGGGCGAGGACGCAAAACCAGACCCAGTTTTCTTTGACGGCTACCATATGGGGTGGCTTGCTGGAGAACCGACGCCTGCTAGATCATGCAGCCACTTGAATGCATGGAAAGAGTGACTGATGCAGAAACCGATTTGCTTAAATTGAGCAAATACTGCAGAACCAAAGCACAATGGATGGGCTCCTCTGGAAATGGTCTGATACTAAGACATCAGTGGCAGCAAGTGTAATGTGGAACGCCCCAAGGGCCACAGAGACGAAAGTAGTAAATTCCAGTTTCTCCGTCAACGGCTTATGTGACCACGGTAGAAACTTCAAACGAAAATCTATGCGAAAAATTTCTCAGGAAACAAAACATAACAATATACAAAACATAACACCAAATAATAACAATGATAATGATAGTAATATTGATGATGATGATGATGATGATGACAAAATTATCGTTGTGGACACGTCAGTGTACATTATACAAAAACTACTCTCCTTCGAGCGCTGAATCCTTCAGTGATGTGATCTTTAACCGCTAGATGCATTGTGTAAGGTACCCTAAGAAACCTGTTTTCGCAGCTTAAAAGATAACTGCGCCTAACGGTGTCGTCCGCCGGATGTGGTAATGATGATAACATGATAATGATGAGAGTGATAATAAGCCCAGGACCTTGCCTCGAGACAATAATAAAATCAATCAACTCAGCGCCACTGTAGACATTGCATATAAGAGCACCAAGATCAACCTTTGCCTCCAACGAACAGGTTTGGAGGATCAGGAGATTATGGACGACATTACTCCATCCTGAACTTCGGGGAATGCCCAATTCAGAAATACTGCTGCGAATTACAGAATCTACTCCAGTCCTATAAGTCCTTATGTTCCTACAAGTGTCACTGAGACGTCTAGAGCGGGACGGCGAAATGCGACATGATGAGTTGATGCGATCGCAAAAAATATTCTACGGGCTTAGAAACTTTTATTTGCTGGTATTTCCACAGGCGTCCCAAGCTCAAGACTCGAGGAAAAGCGATGGATAATTTCATGAAAGCGTCACGTGGTGTTAAGTTACGCGAGCAACCGTTGAGAATTTGAATGCATTATAAGGAACAGAAT